ATACTCTACATCAGTCACGAGGAATGAATTCTCATCTATCATATTCAAAATCTTAGTCTTGCCTAACGATAGGACATTTAGACAAAAGATGGCGCACTCAGGGGTCGTGCGTATCGGTTCCAAGACGCGAAGCACAGGCACTAGTTGAAGATCTATCAGGGGGATATTATGATTTGCTATGTTGAAAAGCCGATTAATCTAGTAAACCTTATGATCCATTTCTTATGCTGCTATTCTGCTGTTGTTATTATTATGAAATAAAGTGTAATTATATACAACAAACCAAACCGTGCAAATGTGTACTGTATGATCACCACAAGGCTCGAGTTTTCCACGTGAAAGATGAAGTAATTGTCATCAAAGTTTTTTTGTTTTATTCATTGGAGTTGTATGAATTAACATTACTATTAATTCATCATGTTGACTAGCATTCCATGTACTATATCAAGGTGAAGAATTTGTTTGAATTGGTAATAACGTTAAGAACTATGAAACGCTTTCAAACTTCATGCAAACTGAAACTGTTTAATCGCTTTTTTTTGCTTTTAATGAACTTGACAGAATAAGGTGCTTGTAACAAAAAAAAGATAAATAAGTATAAAAAATATCCAAATAAAYTGTAAAGAAATAGAGCCAGAAGGCTAAATTAACTACTAAGATTTCTATTTTCATGATTTAGTGATACATTGGTAATTACAGGTAAGGAGAAAAGCAATAAAACATAAGGGAAAAAAAAATATACAATTACTTACACAAAGATTTAAAATTATATGGAGGATAGGAACACAAAGGTAAATGAGGGGCGCATGAAAAGCTGTGTCATATAACAAAAGTCTCACTTTTAAGCGAATGAAAAGAAAACAGAAGATTCTGCGAAAAAGAGACTTCCAGCTACTTTGAGGGACGATCACCATGAAAGACAAATCTCATCTCATAATTTTTGAATTAGTCTCAAGCTAAAGTTGTTTATAACTATATTTGCGTGGGTAGCTTGCTAAAGTGCGCCGAAATAGTACTCTTTGTCGCATGTTTTCACATCATCGATTCTAATTAGCTGGTTTTCCGCCGCAGG